TTATTCTTATTCTTTTATTGGGGAAAGAAGGTAGTGTAAGGAATTCAGGGAAAAACCAACTTCTAGGGAAGGCATAGATTTTTTTTGCCTACTTACTACGTTAGGTAGAAAAGTTTTAAATTAAGTAGCATTTACCTTACACATTTCTATATTTTAAATAAAAACAATCTATGGGGGAGCGGAGCAACATTTGCTGAGACACAGAAAATTGGACTAGAAAGTTTTTCAGTGATAGTAAACTATCCCCATAAATTGCCAGCAGTTAATGCCCAGATTCTCACAATAGATTAGCTGTGCTTTTTAGGAATATCAATGGAAAGGAATAAAGCCACTTGATCCTTCTCTCATCAAGGGAAGGGGACATTTCTCTGAGAATGGCCTCTTTTGTTTTCAGAGGAAGGGGATCTGGAAAAGTGTGAGTAAGGTAGGGCTTATCCAAAGATGACCATTAAACCCACTCACCCCATCTTCCAGTCAGTGTTTTTCCCAGCATGTCTATGCGACTGGAACTGTTCTTCTGGATGTCACTGGGCAGACAATGCAGCAGCAGGTAAGAAAACTGCCACGTGAAAGTGAAGTGCAGGAGTTTGCTTATGGGAAGGAGGAAAGGGGCTATCTGTATGACGTCTCTCGTCAGCTGGAGATACTATTTCTGAGTTCTGATTGCCTCAGAACTTGGAATGGTTTTTGTTTTAATGGGATTGCCATTATTTAATAAACAGACATAAAGGTGGGAATGTTAAAAAAGAAGAAAATGGTTTTTGGTCATTGCTTCTCGAAGTGTGGTCCATGGATCAGCAGCATCAGCACCACTGAGAGCTTGTTAGAAATATAAAATTTCAGGACCCACCTAGAACTACTGAATCAGCAGCAGACTCCCCAGACAATTTGTATGCACATTAATGTTTGAGAAGCACTGGTCTAGAGGATTGGTAAAGAATCAAAGTTATTGAAAAGGTAGGTGATCTGCCTCTGAGCCAGACTTCACACTGTGAATAGCAGTGACACATAGTCCAAGAGGAGAGCAAAAGCTCTCCCAATATAGCCGTTTCTCTTCTCTTCTCTTGTTACCTATCTCATCACATTATTAACTGTTCTCACACACTCCTGCATGCTCTATATATCTCTACATATCAACCGATAGGAACAAAGAGAAGAGGGAGGGAAACAGAGAGGGACAAGAGAAGGTGAGAGGAAGAAGCAAAGGAGAGGAGGAGAGAAAGAGGAAGAAAGAGAGAAAGGAAAGAGAAAAATCTCACATTTTTTGTTTATTTTGACCACACATCAGACTAGAGGCTTTATATGTACAGAGCCTGTGATTTGAGCCCCTCAACTGCCATTCCCAGGCCCACAACATCCCTCCTATTTTCTCCAAAACTACAAAATAATGAACACTGAACAAGCTATGTTCTTGATACACATAAAGGAATGGAACTTCTCAAAAGATGTTTGAGTAAGAAAAGAAGTTGAATTGAAGTGATGCTGTTTTCAGGAGCAGAGATGGAGAAGGGGTCATCAACAGTCTGTGTAACATCTAGGAATTGGAGGTTCAGCTAAAAGGTCCAGGATACAAGAGTAGATGAACTCCCCAAACACATATAGGGAAATATCTGCTGGCTCTGACGTCAGGAAGGAGAAAGTTCATAGAAACAGAGAACTCATAGACAGGTCAGGCTGCCACACAGGAAACTTTCTCTGATACTTTCTGTCACACGATAACAAGTTCTCAAAAAGAAAAAAGAAACAGACAGGTTTACCTGGGAGAGAAGATATGACAAAGGGCTCTGGGTGGCAGAGGGGTAAGGAAGAATAATGAACTTAGAGGTAAGGAAGAATAATGGACTTATTATCCAAATAAATACAGGGGCAAAGGGAGGAACGGACCAATAGATTTTCACATCCCTGAAAAATCAAACAAAACAATACAAAATTCCGTTCATCTAAGAAAAACCTAGATTGGAAATTAGGCATGATTTTCTCTAGAAAGATACAGCACGCAGGGCTGACGCTAGGGATTACAGACTTGTCAGAATCCACACTGTGTGGCCCTTCTGCTGAAATAACTTTATTCTAGGGAAATGAATGAGATGGATTGACACAGTGGCTGCAACAATGGGCTCAAGCATAACAACGACCATGAGAATGGCGCAGGACTGGGCAGTGTTTCATTCTGTTGTACATAGGGTCGCTATGACTTGGAACTAACAACAACAGGGAAATGAAAACCAAATGAACAACAACCTAAACAATCAAAAATTGGGAGGCAAATATAAATGGGGAAAACGTCTCTCTTGGTGAAGTTGAAGGGGTATTTCTGAGCTGACTGCATGTAGCCACACTCCATAATTTTTATACCCCTTCTGCTGTTACCTCCTCTGTCTGAGCAACTGTGTCAGAGCAACAGCAGAGAAAATCCAAGACAGCCAGAATCCATATACAAAGGATGGCTCTCCTCCGAAGAGTGAGGAAAAGTCTTGAATAGACCTCTCAGGGATACTAAAGTGTTTCTCTTTGTACAGCCTGGCAGAAGTGAGCAGACACCACCAATTCTAGACAGTTCAAGATTTCACCTTTTGAGAACGGGAGACAAATAAAGGACCTTCCAGCTTTATAGTCCATGCTTCTAAAAGGGTACACCCCTTTGTAAGCATGTCTACAAAAGTGCATGATGCCACTCTGGTGGAAACTCTGTTTTCTGTTCACCTTTCAATCCATTACAAAAATGAAAAAGTCAGTTCTGTTACTGAAATTATGAAAAAAGTAAAATGGCCCTAGATAGAAAAAAATGAATAAGGAAACTAGGATAGTGGCATTCTAAAAATTAATAAGCATAATATTTCAGTCAGGGAAAGACATGGCTTCTGAGACAGATGCCTGTAAATCTCACCAAAGCAGCATTGTTTTGAAATTTTCCAGCCTCAGGAAATTGTATTAAGCACAGGAAGACAGTGGCATTGGAAGCACTGAATTCCTGGCCCCTCGTTTCTGGTTAGAAGCAACTAGAATTGGCAATATGCACACTTTTTCAAATTGTCTGGCTTGAACCAGACAAGGGATAAGGGAGTTTTAAGAATGGTCCCTCAGGGATTTGAGAGGTCTTCTTTACTGTGGATATTACTGATCCAAGGACAGCATATCAATGACCAAATTTTCTTCTTTTCAGTAAAATCCATTCCACTTAATATTTTCATAGGTTTCTTGGTTCAAGTTCACAAATGAGTGAATTTTAGAGGTAGGCAGAATTATGCCTGTGTTTATGAAATTAGTAGCAGCAAGTAACATTTGTCGTAATGGCATTACTCCTCATTCAAAAGAGTATGGAGCTAATTCTTCGTTAAAACTTCTTTCAGAAGATACTTGTTTGTGACCATTCTTTATTTTTGGCACTACCTCTAATGATGAGCAATCTGGTTTAAAGGACACTTGCTTCATTATCTACTTGTAAAGAGGCAGAAAAAATATATTAGGGCAGTTTTTTAAGGAACTTTTCCTGTGCTCTGGTTTAAACTTGATTATTACA